TTCTACCAATATTTTCAATTTTTTATTCTTTTTATTTAATCTCACTTCTTAATTGAGAGATTATTTGCTCCTTTCTTCAGTTTTTTCTCTTCATTCTCTCAATACTTGTTCTTTATGATTAAGATAGTCTTTATCATCTTTTCATTTTAAGTAATATACTTCAGGATCTCTTAATTTTTAGCTATTTTTTCATTTTTCATAGTGCTGATAAACTTACCAGCTTTATTAAGTGGTTTTCCTTTTTCACAGTTTTTAACTCATTATTTTTGCAGTTTAAATTTAGAAAATAGTACAAGATTAATATTATCTTCTTTTCATCCTTTTTCTAATTGATCTATTTTAGAAAAGCTTTCTCCTCAATTCTTTCATTTTTCTTTTCATTTATTAACTTATTTTCTTTTCCTACTTATAAGGAAATATAAAAATTGTGGCAATTAATTTCTTCTTCTATTTTTTGTATAAGTTCTTGTAATACTTTACTAAATTTTTTTCAAATTGAGGGTTTTAGCAATAAGAATTTATCATTTTAAACACATTACTTTAGTTCAATAGTAATGTATCTAAAGGCTATTTCATTGTATAATCTCGCAATCACTTTGCTCTTTTCAGCAATAATACTATCTGCAGTGAATTGCAAAACTTTTTCAGTTAACTCTACTTGCTCAGGAGTAGCTGATTTATATTCTTTCACTCAACACTTATTTTTATAACTTTCTTTGTATTTTGGAACTATACGAGCAAAAAAATGAGAAGAGTTTTGATCAGCAAGTGTTCTCGTTAGTATAGTAAATCAAAGCCTGCGAGATGGTAAACTTTGTCTATATTTTCATGGTATTCTTAAGAACTGGCAATATTTCATTTCATTCATCAATGCTCATAAAGTGTATATATTTAATATGCTTTTTGCTTAATATTATACAATGACCTTTTGCATTAGGATGAATATTAGCAAAAGTAAAAACACTTCCTCTTAAGTTTGATATATAACAATTATACAAACCCTTTTCATGAAGGATCATACTATCACAGCCAAAGTAAGCTTCTTTATTATCAGATTTAAAACAAGTATAATTAGGTGTATTGTCTTAATTAAAAGTAAAATGTGTAGATTAATTACCTTTTTCAATTTTATTTGAATAATTGGTACACTAAGAATAATATAATGCTTACTATCTTTATAAATACTATATCTTAATGAAGATAGATTTTACATTGAAAACAAGTGGCAACAATTATGTCTCACTTTTATTAGTCATACTTATTTAACTGTTTTATTCTTCAACGCCAATCATCTCCTTCTTTATTTTTAAACTTTTCTAGAGCTTTTCTAAAGATTTTCTTTTAATTCCTTTCTCAATCTGCACAATTATTTAGTTCTTATTGAACCATATTTTGTACACAATCTCAACAATAAAATCTGTTAGTTTTTTCTTCAGTATTAAGTACTGAAACTGAAAATTGTTTTCTTCTTTTACATTTTTACAATTAAAATATTCTTTTTTAGTTATGATTACTTATTAATATAGTAAGTTTTAAGCAAAAAAAAAGGTAAAATAATCGTTTTAAAAAAAAGAGAACTTTATAAATTATAGTAAAAATGAAATATTAATTCTGTTTAGAAATTTCATTAATAAAAATTGAAATAAATGGTAAGTTTTTTGTATTAAAATTTTTTGTCCAGATATTTTTGTCTTTTTATTTTGTTTTGTAATATTAAAGCTTCGCATAAGCTGAGTCGTTTGTAAGCCAAATAAGCCAGTTCATTTAGGCTCAGCTTGAGTCACTATAAAACAAACTATGAGTCAGATAAACTAGCTTGTGTTGTGACTTAGCTTATGCTACAGCTTAGCTCGTTAGCTTATATTTTCTTCTTTGAAGAAAATAAATCTAAAGGTAGTTTTTCTTCAAAAAAATCTGCTCTGATGGTATTTACTTAAAGAAAAATGGCTCTAGTACTATTTTCTTTGAAGAAAAATAACCTGGTAACATTTCTTTTGAAGAAAATAAATCTGGTAGCATTTTCTTTAAAGAAAAATGCATTCAGAGCATTTTTTAAAAGAATTTGTTTTTGGAGTAATTTTTTTGAAAGAATTCACTTTCAAAGCATTTTTCATAAAGGACTTCGCTTCCAGAGCGTTTTTCATAAAGAAATTTACTTCTGAAGCATTTCCTTAAAGGGATTCGTCTCTGTGACTTTTTTTTTGAAGGAATCACATCTAAAGGCATTTCTTTATTGAAAATTTTGAAGGAAAATGCCTCTAAAATGATTTGTACTTTCAGAAGCATTTCCCTTTAAGAAAATAGTCTTTGAGATCTTTTTTTCTAAGAAAAACACTTCTGAAGGCATTTTTTTCTAAGAAAAGCACTTTCAGAAACATTTTTTTAAAAGAAAACTACTTTTAGAGGTGTTTCTCTTTAAGAGAATAGCTTCTTAGGCATTTTTTCTTAAGAAAAACACTTCCAAAGGTGTTTTCCTTCATAGAAATAGCCTTTGAGGTATTTTTTTCTAAGAAAAACACTTTCAAAGGTGTTTCCTTCAAGGGAATAGCTTTTGAGGCGTTTTTTTCTAAGAAAAATACTTTTAAAGGCGTTTTCCTTTATAGAAATAGCCTTTGAGGCATTTTTTCTTAAGAAAAATACTTCTAAAGGCGTTTCCTTTAAAGGGAATAGCATCTAAGACGTTATTTTCTAAGAAAAACACTTCTGAAGGTATTTTTTCCCAAGAAAAACACTTATAGAGGCATTTTTTTCAAAGAAAACTACTTTTAGAAGCATTTTTTTTAAAGGAATTTGCCTTTGAGACGTTTTTTTTAAAGAAAAATACTTCTAAAAATGTTTTCTTTAAAGAAATTAGTCTGTAGCTTATTTTTTAAAGGGAATCGCCTCAGTGATTTTTTTTAAAAGTTTTTTATTTATATCAATAGATAAAAAGGCTTGTGATTTTAGTATCATTTTGAATAATTATTCTAAAATAATTTATTATTTTTATTTTAAAA